AGAAAAAAGAAAAGAAAAATGGAATCTGACTTTCTCCTTAACTCACTTCTAGAAGAAGTGACACTGGAACTTTGGTTCACAGGAATTACAGAGGCTCAAAAATCACATTTTTGTCATTGCTGTAGATGGCTGGCATCTGCATTTGCTTATTGTGGTTGTGGGCTATTGTGGCTACCCGGGGATGGAGACCACTTGGGGCTGGTTCAACCTGGCAATGGTACATTGTATCTCTAATGATCTGGCAGGGCAGGGTATGGGGATAGCTTGACATGGAGGAATGGGGATTGCTGATCTAGTGTATACTGTGCCTCAGCACGGCCTTACCAGAACTCCACATTCAGGGATTACTAAGCACGGATTCCGCTAATGCTTTGGTATTTGTTTCTTTATATGCTGCTGTTCTTCTGGCATTTGTCCCTCAGGAGCCACATATGGAAGAGAGATTGGCAAGGTACAGATGGTATCTTTAAACCCACGGTCATAATTTAAGCACATCTTGAAACACCTCATTAGCTGCTTCTCTTTTGTTTGGTTGGTTTTGTTTGTTTTTCTTATTCTTTTTGGTTTTTTGAGACAGGGTCTCATTATGTAGTAGTTCAGGCTAGCCTGGATCTCACTATGTAGTATAGGCTGGCCTTGAGCAGATCCTTCTGCCTCAACCTCCTGAGTGCTAAGATTAAAAGTGTGTGCCACTAGACTTGGCTTACTGCTCTTTCTATTTAGGGAGATAACCAAGTCATGTAGCAAATGAGCCATGAGTGATTCCTATTAATTCAGAAGAAAAACTGTTAAGAACCCATTATTCTGGGAGAAAGGATAATATGGCTTTGGAGGGGGTAAGTAAAAAGGCTTTAACAAAGGCTGCCTTTCTCCCTATGCTCTGGGCTTGAAAGCTCAAAAGTGGCAGAGCACTTGACAAGCAAGTTTGTACAGTGAGCCAAAGCTTTTCTGGGAAATGGCCAGTGGATTAAGGTGTCTGACTGCGTGTGGTTTAAGAAGCAAGAGTGGCAGGTTTACCAACAGGTAGAAGGAGAGCAGTCTAGACTAAAGACTTGAGTTCCAAGGTTAGGAGTTGAAAACTAACCAAAAAGAAAACACCTCAGCACTTTGGGTTCTGGTACCAGGGCAGGAGGATGGTGCTGGAAAACCTGCTTGACTAGGAGGCCTTGCAGATGCAGAGCATCTCTGCTGAGCCCTCCCCTACCAGCATGTGCTCTTGCAAGACCTGCCTGCCCCTGAGGATCTCCTTCAGGGGCCTGTAAAACCCACTGAGCTTCAGTAGCAGCCTGGCGGCACCAGCACTGTAACAGAGACACAGTGTCACACTAATGATGGTGGGAGGACTCCCATGGGGTCTGGATTGATAGCTTTGAAGTAACAATAACCAAAAAGTTTAAGAAGAGGCTCATGGAAGAAGGCTTTGAAACAGTGACAGTATTTACAGGGAACTGGAACAGGTACAACAAAGAAAGCAGATTTAAAATCTGAGTTTAGAAGAACTTTGTTCTGTATCATCACATAACCAAGTGGAACACTACGTTTCATTCTATTTCCTCCTCAGCCCAAATCCAGTGGCAAGAAAGTGTCCTGGAAAGAATGAATAATTTATATCAACAATTTTAGAGTTCTCAACATTTTTAAAAAATATATAACTATGGACATGTAAGTTCTTAGAATATTTCTATTTCAGGGCCTTTGGGGCAGTGGCAAAGCGAGGACCATTGTCAAACATACAAAACCACAATGCACACGGTGAGTTTTATTTTATATTTGGCACCTAAGTGTACAATGGATATTGTGTTTGATTCTTACAGGAAAAGGCATTCAAAAAGCTAATGAGTCAGGTGAGGGGAAAAAGACCACTTGATTCCTGGGTAAATGCACAAATACTGTTCTAACCACCCTTCCCGTATCTTTGTCCATGTGTACAAACTGACCAGTAAGTATTTTATTGTTTTTCAGGCTATCCTTTCTAAGTTAGGTTACACACTTCTATCGAAACTAACTTCTTTTCCTAGTTCCAAACTAGTTCTTAAGTGAAATCATATATAAGAATCTTTAGCTCTGTTTCACAGAACATTCAAGTCATGTTTTTTCACTCTGATACGAAATAATCCTGAAAAAGCCCACACCAATATGCAGCAGATCTAGCTTAGGATCTCAATAAACAATCGTTCATTTATTTATTGAAATAGATGAAATCTATTCATTTATCCGCCTGTGACTTCTGTAGCTTTAATAAATCTAAACTGTTAAACACATTCCATTTTCTACTCAAGAACCATTACAGTGGTCATCCTGAAAGTCTGTGTGATGCTGCATGGATTAAAGAAAGTATGTTATTTAGAAGCATCTATGTTTTAAATGTTACACTATAAATTCAAAACCACGTACACTAGTGGAATTATTTTATGATATATAACACACCAGGGCACTTAAAAAGCAAGCGAGTAATCTTAAATTTTTCCTCTTTCAAAAACCAATGCAAGAAATATTGCCTGATATTTGGTTACTTCTTTAACAGCCTGGCTGAATTATATAAAATTCCAATGTGGTTTCCCTTTCCAGGCAGAGCCCCACATTTATATAATCCTCAAAAGCCACTGCTTGAGTGTTTCTGTACCTTTCTGTAACTCATGTTTCAGGGCCATGTTGAGCTTCGAGGAGTTTAAAGAAAGAAGAAGCCAATTGCCCTTAACTTTTGCAGAGCACAGACAATCTGGGTACACAGACAGGTGGAACTTCTGTTTTATGATGTTTCTGTATATGCAACAAAATCCCCCCAAAAATTGTTATATAGACCAACACAAGATCAGTAAGTTATCTGCCTCTGACACATCTTGTCAAGGTTCTGGGTAGGACTATAGATAGAATATGCCCTTTGTCGTGGTGTTCACTTTACCCTTAGGGCTGGCAGTGCTCTTCCGTGAGAAACTCATCACTGGCTCACATTTCCATGTGTGATACAATCTATTCTAGTTGGGCAAGATTTTTTAGCCAACAGGGCACTGAAGTTTCATTTGCAAGAAAACTATTAACCCCAATGGTTAGTGATAATTAAAAAAAAAGTAATATTTACTGTTATCTTGTGCACTCAGTAAAACAATTCTGACATTAGTGTATTTGTCTTATTAATAGCCTCTCCCCTCCAAATACAAATGTTCTAGCATCCTGCAGGTTAGGAAGTTTTCAGAATATTATTTAAAAGGTCAGGAGAGCTCTTTCAGAAGAAAAAAAAAAAATATGAAGTCCATTTTCTTACTTAATGGTTCTTGACCAAACTGGATTGGTTAACAATAAGGTAACCTTAGATAATTTCAGGTCTTTATACACAACTTATCTGGCTTCTTCAGGTGATGGTATTACTATTCTACTCTTAAAAATTTAAAGGATAAAATTCAAAAAGTCTTGAAATGGCTGATCTACCTGCCCTGAAATGTGCTTAGCGTTACTGAAAAAAAGAAAAAGAAAAAAGAAAAAAAGAGAGACAGAGAGAAGGAGAAAGAGAGAGAATAGACAAATTCAAACAATCTCTTGGAGAGTGAGCCCGAGACGCCCTAAGCTGCTCTGTCACCAAGTTTAGAAAGGTGATTCAAACAAGGTGACTCAAACTCTATGTAAGAGATTTTAGGACAGCACCACCCATGCAATCCCAAACACTAAACAATGCTCCTAATCTAAAATAGCCTTTAAGGAGTCAATTTCTATACCACCTGTGGAAAATCATTGATGTGACCTTTAACGATTAACATGGATGGCAGTATTTCAAAGAACTGAGACTTATTAGGAAATGAATACACAGCTCCCTGGTCTTATTTCTTGGTTATAAATAACCTAAGAACACAAGGAAATATCTCAAGGATCACCTTAATCTGTACCAGTTTAAAAAAAAAATTATTCTAAAAACTTTTGTTTTAGCATTTAGTGAGTGACTCTGAACATTTTCTAATACACATATTCCACTGGGTTAAGTAATCTCTAATAGCATTGTAATTATTACAGGCTAGTGGAGGGGAGAAGAAAGAATTTGTACCAGCTGCATGCAAATGAGATATCTAAGAAAACTATTGTATCATGAAACAAAAATCTCAAAGGCTCATGTTTCACATATTTATTTCATTTACTGCATTTTCTTGTTTCTTTTATGTAGTTTAGCTTGGACTTGAATTCACTGTGTAACCCAGGCTGGCCTCAAACTCCTAGCAATCCTGTCTCAGCCTCCTCAGTGCTGGAATTACAGATATGAAACACTAATGTCTAGCTTGTATTTTTCTATTTTTTTAAGGTAAGACCCTGAGAGAGCATTAAGAAACAACCTTGAAAAATACTAGTTTTCTTCCGCTTATCACTGAAAATAGTCTTTTTGCTTTTGATCCAGATATCAGTCTATGAGACTGAGAAAATTAGTCTTAACCTTATACTAATATGAAGCTTTACTCATGCATTGTGCTACTTCGTATGAACTTTACATTGCTTAGCTGGTGATTCAGTTTGGATATTTTACAAGGCCATGCATTAACTAAACAGATCACCAAATCATATGGGATCAAATATACTCCTACTTCCCAAAGGCTTTAATTATTTGAGATGATAAATTTACATAGTAAGAGAGCTTAGTTTTTCTGGGCTCCTAGACTATGAAGATTTATCTACATGATCTATAGCTGTGTCTTTTAAAATATTTTATTCAAAATCAGCTCCAGCTGTGGTGCTTTAAGAGTAACTCTGACACAGGTAACCTTCTGCTCCTTGGTTAGTAAAGTTTAACTTACGTTAAGGATGCAGATTACCATGTTATCTTACAATTGAACTAAAAACAAAACAAAACAAAAAACCACCCAATAAGCTATAGTCTATTTTCTAATTACCAGAGTATTGGCAAGAAATCATTCTTCCTACCAAGTTACTAAGGATACTGCTTGTACTCAGACTCACATGAATCACTTAAATGGTCATGTCTTGACTTTAGGGCAAAAGACTGATTTAAAACTCCGACTTGCCTCTGGGATGCTTTTTCAGAGTCAGCAGATGAATGAGACATCTTCCTTTTCTCTTCCTTCCAGGCTTGTAGCATGCACACCACTCTTTCCAGGTGTCACTGCCTTGTTAAGATGTTGTCATGGCACCAGCCACTCTGGTGCACAGGTCTGGCACACGAGGAATGAACAGGAATGATTTCTCATTAAATGCCACTTTGTTGGGCTTCATGTGAGACCTCTTGGGCCTTGATGAGATACTTTGTTTATACTGAACTACACAGGGATATCTACATCAATGAGGCACTATAAGGGAAGTATAAAATACATATTTAGGCAAGATGTTTTATTACCTCTACTGCCTCCTGTGTCTCCTTAAGGCAGTTTCCTTTCTTCTCTAAACCACTTTCTTCTCTAAACCTGTTGCAAGATCCTGCACCTCAAACCTTAAGGAAAACATAGGGTGAACTTAAGTGATTAGACAGGGACTCCACTTGTAGCCTTTTTCAGGATCCCTATTTGGCCATTAAAGAAGGGTAAGTTGAGTTGTCTCTGGAAGTTGTAGGCAGATTTATTCTATTGTAGCATCTGTTATTTTCTGCGCCTGTAATGTAGGCATATTTAGCATCAAGGAATGCAATTAGATCATTTGTTTCCTTAGTTGAACTCTATAGCCCAATGCAAAGACAAGTCTTCTTTGAAAGCCACTATTAAATTCCTAATCCAATCTTTATTAAAAAGACTCACTGCTACAAACAAGGAAGTTAAGACAAATCCTCAAAAAGTAGCAATCAAGCTCTTCCACACCCCACAGAAACATTATAGCGTCACAAAATTTGAAATCAGACAAATGTTTATAGTAGCAATGGTTTGTAACTAGTAATGTCTGCCTTCACTAACATGCTGCGGAGGCCAGGAAATAGTTCCACGGAGAACCAGGAAAGAAACAACATCAAAAATTTGCCTGTTCCCACAAAAGCAAGCAAAGTTCTACTTTAGGGCTAATTATCAGACATGGGTAGGAATTAAGTTTCTTTCTCAGACTCAATCTTTCCAGTGATGAGACCCCATCCCAAATTCCACTTTGGAGAAATTCCTTTAAAGGGGAAAAAACAAAAGGCATCTTTTTAAACTCTGAAACCTTAGGTCTTCTCACACTGAGCCTTGCCAGTCTGACCATACAAATGGTAAATCATACTTAGTTGTGATTTTGCTCTGAGGTTGTGACTCTTAGAAAATTACCAATGTCTTCAAATATAGTCTTTTTTTTTTTTTTTCAGACTGCATGGATCCCTCCTCAAAGCCATTATGGTTTAGAATGGAAATCAACTGTCCCCCAAATGCCACTGATCTGCTTAAGCAAGTTACTTCCCTACTATGTGCCAGGTATTCTTCTGAAGCTTGGCTTAGATCCATAGATAAGACTTAGGGGTTTATACTCTAGCAGGGAGAAAGAGAGAAATGCATTACAGACAGGCTTGCAGAAAATGATGAATACTTTTGAGAGAAAAAGAACAGAGTAAGGTAATAAGTTGGGACACAGTATCAGGGATGCTGAGGCAGCTTCCTTAGAAATACAGAAGGAATAAATTTTTAAAAGTTGCATGGTGGCTATAATCCCAGCCACTTGGGGTGCTGAGGCCTCAGGATTGCTGCAAGTTCAAGGCCAGCCTGGGCTACATAGTGGGACCCTGTCTCAAAAAAAAAAAAAAAAAACTGAGTTTGTTAATGTTTATTTTATACCAGTTGTGATGTTAAGACTCTCTCATTTAATTCTCTGGGGAAGACAGTACAGTACCATTCTTATTTGAGCAGAGAGGAAGCAGAAACACAAGAGTTCAACAACCAAGTCACACACATCTAATGCCTGTGCTTTAACCTTTTTGCCTTGGACAATAAAAGCAGAAGAAAGTTAAGCTAGTTCTTCAAAGGTAGGTGGAACACATAGCAGCTAGAAAGTCCATTTGGGGAAGAGGAACTCATAGTAATGCATAAAGATTATCCATGTGAGTTTGGCAAAGATCTCGGGCTGGGGCTGGGCTATGCTGGGGTTAAGGCTGAAAGGTGGGGCGAGCTGGATTAGGGGGGCTTATGACACTCTGAGTTGTCTAGACAGGACTGAGGAGACTTTGAGGTTCTGAGTGATGGTGTGGAGGTTGGGATGGTGACAAATCTGAGTACTGAGAGGCAACGAAGGGTCAGAAAGTTTCGTGGTCTGATGTTTGCATGGACTTGCCACTTTGAGTGACTCCACACTGCCAGTTTCTTTTATTTAAATACTTGGCAAATCTTCTGAAAACAAAATCTTTTAATTGAAAGGTTAAGGTCTAACAATCTCAAATGTCAGATCCAAGGTTATCCTTCCTTGACAAGCTACGATGCTCAGTGACCCTCAAACTTCAAATAAACAGGAGTGTCCTAAAGATGGATTTTAATCAATTCAAAGACTATTTATGTTACAATCTTCATAAGATCAATTTAATTCTTTAAAATAAGTACTTCCCCAATGTCAGTTTCCTAAGTCTTTATAACTGAAATAATATTTTCAAGTTAAAGGCAGCTCTCCACTAAAATAGTCACATCATTATAGTTTCTTGTGTGAGACAGAATATATACAGAATTTTTCCCTTTATGTACACATTTGTCATAACCATTAAAAATATAGGAAGGCCAGGCTAGAAAAATGCTGTTCAAGTGATATGCTGTTCATGAGATATGAGGGTGATGTGCCTTTTTTATTGTTAAAATTAACTTCCTTAGAAATGTCCCAATTTGTCACATAATCATATTTAAGATGTAGGTAGGGCTGGGAGGATACTTCAGTAGTAGAAAGCTTGCCTAACATGCACAAAGCCCAGGGGTTTATTTCTTAAAATGCAAAACATAAATAATAGATAAAAAGTAAACCTGTAGTCTCTAGTGTAGGCTTTGTTCACATTTAATACAGCTGAAGCTAAGAGAACCTTCAAAAAGAACAGGCGCCCTACTCAAGGATCCGAAGCCTCCACAGTACCATTTCAGACATCATTAGCTGATGCTTCCCTATCCAAAGCTATTGGACAAGCTCTTCATAAACCGAAAATTCAACATTAAGGTTGGCATTGAAAGATTTTTAGAAAGTTCTTTGGTGTAAGAATTTTGAAGTCGAGAAGGATCTGGCTTATTGCTGCTTTTCGGCCTGAGATTCTTGGCCACACTGAGCGCTGTGCAGATGCTGATCAACTGCAATCTAACGTCAGCATTTTTAAAAAGCTGAATGGATAACACCAGCACATTATAAAATACAGCTGCACCAGCTGGGAAGAAATTATGGTGAGTTCAAGTGATTAATTATTTAGCCCAGAGTCAAAAGTTTCATCTATTTTCTCAATTCCAACTAGTATTTAATAAACAGTTTGGAAGGCACTTTTAAAAGCAAGAAGCAAAAAGGTGTCCGTGGATGAAATACCAAATTGAAAATTATTCATTGCCATTATTACTAGCCAGCATCCACTGGGTCAGACAAGCAGAGGCGTAAGGGGGCCGCTCCACTGGTACAACTCAGGAAGACAACAGCCCCGCAGAACTTCAGTAACGGCTTGTCTTCCTTTCTTAGCCTCTGAGTGGGCATCAGCTAGAAAAACATACAGCTATTTCTCATTATAGACTGAAAGTTAAGAAGGAAGTGGGGGTCAGTTGATAAGGCAGACTGAAGTTGTTCCTTTCGCTCACTATATAATAAATTTAACTTAGCAATGTAAATTCGAGAGGCTTTAGCTGCTCATTTACCTGGTCATGTGGTTACTGTTTACAGAACACTTAGTATGTGCCAAAGTGCTCTTTGAGGCTATGGTACCATGAAAAAGAAGGCATGGTCTCTTTTCTGGGGTGTGCAGGACAGGAAGGGAGAAAAAACAAGCGAGCAATAGTTTCAACTGGTGCCTAGTGCTTTGCAAGAAGTATTTCTGATGAGGGTCCAAAAGGTTCATTAACTTCAATCATGTTTTGTAATAGAAAGATAACTTATTACTACTTCAAGGCATTGTATATAAATTGCTAGCTATGGTTGGTGGCATATGCCTATAATCCCAGTACTCGGGAGGCTGAGGCAGGAGGATCAGTTTAAGGCAGTCAAGACTGCCTGGTGAGACACTGTCCCAAAAAACCAAAAAATAAAACAGTTAAAAATCACTTTCTTACTGTTATCAACCAAGAAAAGACTTTATTTTTGTTCTAAGAGCTAATTATTCAATCGTCTTTAAATTATGATATATACTTAAAACAATAATTACATGGGGCTACTTATATTTAAATTTTGTGAGACTCCTGTACCCACACTGTGCTCTAGAGAAGCAGCTTCCTACCAGTGCCAGGGGAAGGGAATATCTGTGTAATACATAAGAGAATTAAATAGTAGCAATGATATGTCCTGTACAGTTACCTTAAAATTCAAATTTCTGGCTCAGGCTTGGTAGTGCCAGCCTATAATCCCAGCTAAGGGGTGGGCAGGGTGAGGGGTGTTAACTGAGGCAAAAGGCCCCAAATTCAAGGCCAGTCTGGACAACAATGAGATGCTGTTTCCAAATAAAATTTGTGAAAAAAGGGGCTGAGGATGTAGCTTCGTGGCAGGGCTCTTAACTTGCATGTGGGAGGCCCTGAGTTCAGTCCCCAGGACTACAATTAGTCAGTTGATCAATCAATCAATCCAAAATTTGGAATCAGGGCTGGGGATTTAGCTCAGCGGCATAAATGCCTGCCTTGCAAGCAGGCAGTCATGAGTTTGATCCCCGGTACCGATAAAAGGAAAAAGACAAAAAAAAAAAAAAAAAAAGAATAGGAGCAGGGCTGGGGATTTAGCCCAGCTGCATAAGCGCCTTCCTTGCAAGTGTGTAGTTGTAAGTTCGATCCCCAGTACCGATAAAAAAAAAAAAAAAAAAAAAAAAATAGGGGCAGAATAAACCAAGGGCTGGGGATTTAGCTCAGCGGCATAAGCACCTGCCTTGCAAGCAGGCGGTCGTGAGTTCGATTCCCGGTACCGATAAAAAAAAAAAGATTTTCAAAATTTGGAATCAGCACCACCTTTTTAAATAGCAGAGGAAATCCTATGTTCAGTTAGTGTTCAGTTTGCTGCTGTAGGGGTGCAAACAATTCAGAGGCAATGCAAATGTCTGCATGTTAGAACCAAACACGTCTCGTGCACTGTCATTTACTAGATTCCCTAAGCACACGAGTCACTTTCAGGTCACAATAGGTCAAACTTCTGAACTTCAGATTCACTATGAAAAGAGTCCCATGACTGGGGGTGTTTGAAAAGCATTACCTACTTGTAAGACCACTATCCAGGGAACACTAGGCAGCATTTGGTTCTGTCAGCCTTCCCCCACCCCCACAATAGCAATAGGAAGCCTCTATAAGAGTCCAGAGTCCAGCACAGGTCTTGGTCATGTTTGTTATTTTTATGAAAGAG